AGAGTAATAAAGTACTGTAAATTAGTTTTAAATATTTTGTAACTTTTGTGAGCAGCTTAAATGTTGCGACTAGGGAAGTGACGAATCGAAAGCGATTAGTACAAAAGTGAGTAAATATATTTTAACAATCATTTGTTGCAATATGACAAAAGAATATAATTTTACACCAAGACAATTAACATAATGATTATTAATACAATTAGGACTATTAGAAAAGTCTGGAGCCGCACAAATGTAATAAATCTTAATAAGGCTCGCCAGCATTTTGGGCGTTGTTTTATAGAAATAGAGAATAAATGATTTTGATTCGATGCGAAACTGCATTAAACTGGAATTTATGACTGTAATTTAATTAAACAAAAGTTATTTTGAATTTTTTTTTTTTTTTTTTTTTTTTTTTTTAATTTACTTAACATCAAATATATGAACCCATTAATCTGCGCCGAATTTATATGACCAAAGAACTCGTGTCGTTCGCATTTGGTTTTACGTTTTGTAAACGTTTATTTATTAGCCGCTTAAACTTGTAAGATTTACTATTTCATCCAGTGCATATGATTGTATAGTGCTCGGCGCTTGGATAGAGATCTTAAGAGTGTCAAAAGCGGGTACAATAATAATAACAATAATGCTATAATAACAATAGCAATAACAATGAAAGTGCGCTGAAGGCAATTGCTGTTGCTTGTATTGTCAGTCTGCGGCGTCTAAGCATTTGTTGGTTGTTGCAAGCAACAAAGCACCATTTTGACGTTTTGCAATTGTCAACTTAGTGTTTGGTGGCACATGCAACACCCCTTATAGCGATTGTTGGGAATTATTGCGCGACAACTCTTGAGCGTGTTGCTCGACACTGCCGACGATCATCTAATGCTAAGTGACGCCGTTTTGTGCATTTGATGTCTGCAGGATGCTGTGGGCGTGTACTCAACGCACAAACACACACAAACAAAGAAATGTATGCTAGCGTTTACAAACGAGCGTCTGAAATGTTTAAGCTGCAGATTTATTTGTCGCACTCGCATAATTTACGGATACACTGCGCAACACACATACACACACTAACTGTTAGCAGCAACCGCTTCTTCTGCGTAGAACGTGAGTGAGCTTTTTGTTATCTCCTCCTTTCGTTGCCTCCAAAGTATTTGCTTTTCTTCGCCTTACTTGCGTTGGTCGGAAAAGTTTTGCCTCATGCAAAACCACTTAGTTTACTCAGTTGAATATTTTTGTTTATCACAGAGAAATAGCGCATGTTTGCTTGCAGTTACTTATTTACATTGGCTGCTTGCAACAGTTGCGCGCGCTGAAAACTTTTAATCGTTTGTTAGCAATAACCGGAGATTATGTTGATTATTTGCGCGAATTTATGGCTTTAATAGTTTTAACTATATTTGCCTTTCTACACCATATGGTTGCTAAAATGCAGTTGAAAGGAATGGAAGCTTAGTCCCAAATATATGCGTTTGTTGTTGATTGAAGACAAGCTTTGAGCGCGAGAAGTAATACTTTTCCTTAAATTTGAAACTGACCTTTTCAACTTAAATGTATTTAATGTGGATTACAAATGTTACACAATGGTCTCTCACAGCTAAACTTGTGAATTTTGACTATAAGTTTAACAAAAAGTAAAGATCTGTCGAGAAAACATGACAAAATAGTGACAAATGTTTTAAGTGCGCACACCAAATCAAAAATATTCACTAAATCTTTACACAAATTACATCAAATTAAAAATGTTGCCTACATCTCAGCGTATTGCTAACTACAAGAATTTAGAATTCGCTTTCATAGTTTTAAAATTCTTAATCTATTCCTGAAAATCTACTTCGTCCCACTCAAAGTACTTCACCTTTGGCTGCACAACACTTGTTCCTACGTTTTTTCCAATCCTCGAAACAGTTGTTAAAGTCAATTTCCGGAATAGTCTTCAATGCGCGTAGAGATTCACGTTTAATGTCTTCAATGGACTCAAAGCGGTTTCACCGGAACGGTCGTTTAAGTGTGATTACTAGCCAGAAGCCACATAGAGCTATATCAGGCGAAGACGGTAGTTGCGACACGATATTCGGTGGAAATCTGACGAAAAACTCACAAAGAGTCAATGCAGTATGCGACGGCGCCTTATCGTGGATCAAAAATCAAGACTTGTCGGCACTCTTTTTACAAAAAGCTTTGCTTCAGCGATGCATAAAATTCAAATAATATTCCTTGTTGACAGGACCACACCTCGATAATCGAAGAAAACTGTCAACATAACCTGCTTTGACGTGGCCTATTCGGCTCACCTTTGGCACGATATTCGGCTGATTGATCGTCTGTTTCCGCATCATAAGCATAGATCCAAGACTCATCGCCAGTAATAACATTTTAACACGACGTTGTTTTTCGAAAATAATTTAGTGATTTTGAAACCGTGCTTTACTTTTCTTGGACTGAAATGATCTTTCAAAATGGTTATCACAGGTCCTTCTGATATTCCAACGATGCTAGTAAGATATCTCTCGATTAATAAATCATCTATTCTCCAGTACAAATCCTTTTATTTTATTGACCACCTGGACGTGGTTCGTGGTCAACGCGTTCTCGACCCTTTTTGAATAATATTTACCAATCAAAACCACTTGCTCCTCATGAAAAAACTACCACGTTTGAATAAACACACAAAATCGAATGGAATTTTTTTCCTAATAATAACTTTGAAAATTTTTTTCAACGAGAGGATTTCCGCGCGAAATGTAGATCAACAAAGTCTTATTATTTTTTGCCTAGATGTTAAAATAGTGTTGACAATTGGACTTTTCAAGCTGCGAAATTTTAATAATTAAATTTCCACCAATTCCAATTCACACCTTGTATGCCCTGATCAAGGACTTGAGTATATTAAAATTTGTAAGCAAGAACTTACATTAAAAATATTGCCTACATTTAGGATCAGTGACCAAATATGTACTGAAAGTATACTGTGTAGAAGAGTAAAAAGAAGATCACAAATAAATATTATTTTCATCAATTCGCTAATTTTGCAAAAATTTCTGTATCTTCCAACAAAACGAATCTGCCAGCATTTCTTAATATTATGAACTACAAAATGGATTATTCGCTTCAGTCTAATAGTGAACATACCTTATTTCGCGGATTGTAATATCCAACCTATGGAAGATGTTTTTCCACAAATCGGGTCTTCTCAATATACCTCAAACAGACTAATATATTTTAAAATAGCATTTCGAAGTAGAAGTAGTCGAATTGGCGCCAAACAGCGACAAGGAATGAAGACTGGTGCGCTATTGTAAATTCGACCATAACCGCGTCCTTGTTTACTTATCTGCCGACCTTTTAAGCTACTACTATTAGATACGGCCAAATCACTCCATATAAATTTGTGAGCTTGTGCTTTTCACTCAAAAACTGTTACTTAGTATTTCTTACAATTTACTACTTCACCAATTACTTTTGTAAAAGAAACATTGCGAAAAGTGCAAATTTAGACAACACCACCCACACCATTTCCATTTCCTGGCTTTTCGACATTTTCCACAAACTTTTTCAATTTCGCGCGCATAAGCCAATTAAAAATAATATATTTGCAACAGTAAGCCGCTTTTCGTGCAATAAAATGCACAGCCAGCGAAAGGCACGAAGGCCAGAAGGCAAGCGCCGGGAAAAAATACCAAATCATGGCATAGCGCATTAAAGTATGCAACGCTAAATAGCGCGTTGAGCAATGAACCGCAAAATTATAATGCGCCCTACACACCAACCAACACACATACACACTTGCATATACATTTATATGGTGGTAATTTTTTATATTCAATTAAATGCAAAGTTTTTTACGCTCTTTTGCACTTGCTGCACGCTTGCAAATCACGCTTTAAGCCGCAGATAAGCTGCTAAAAAGCAGCAGCGCACAAAAATTAAGTCTTAATTGAATTTATGAAAATGAAAAATTAGGTGGCTAAGCGCATTAAGACGCGCATACACACAGCTATATGTATATAGTGGAGAAGTAGCAGCATTTTACTTTTGCCGCTAAAATGTTGTCAGCGGGGGAAAAAGTGAAATTGCGAAAATTCTGAAAATTCTAAAAATGCGCAAGGCATTAAAATTTACACGCTACGCGGTGTTAATGGGGGTCAGCGCTGTGTGGCTGCTGGATTTAAGTGAGTTTTATGTCAAATATTTGAATGCGAGCACTTGCCTGCAATATTTTGCGCGTTTTGGCACTTAATTTGGACATCGTAAAATAGCTTGGCGAGCAATAGCGTGAAAAGAATGGTGAAAGAATTTCCTTCCAGTTCTTCAACAGCTGGATTGCAACGGGTTTGATCATTCAACGCTCGCATGCTGCGGAAAATCAGGCCTTCAGCGATGGAGCGCGTCTGGTTCTTATTGATGTGTTTGCAGACCGCAAGTGAACCACTTACAACTCAACGCATTCCCCCGCGCACTACCTACCTATATATCTCTCTATCTCTCTTCAAAATCTCTGCTATGCAATCCTTTTGTTCGCACTTTACGCGCCTATCCACGTATTACGCCGCTTTCAGTAGCGATCCACTTGAATTTTGTACGGTTCAACAGCCAAGCGGAAGAGAACAACAGCGCTACTTCACAGCTTTCGCTAGGTTTTGCCTCGACTTATCATTTTCAATTGTTGCGCTTCATCGCCATTTGATATTGATGCGTTCAACTGTTGACCACCAAAATATCGTCTTTGTTCTCGCACTTGACTGCGCAGCCTTAAAGCGCTACACAGCTAATTACAAGTGATTAAATCTCAAGAAAGCAAACAAAAATTGTGCAATATTTAAAGGTCTGCAGTATTAAGCCTCCTCAGCAGCCACATTTGGTTGCACATTAAGATTGCCGTTATTTTGTGTGTAGCGGCGCGTAAATTCAAGCACTAAATGCACTCCATATGTACGCCTTATGAAATTTTTACCATTTATTTCTTTGCATTTCATTTCACTAATTCATTTTTCTTTCCTTTCTTGCAGCCTGTGAATGCCATCCGATCGGGTCGTCGGGCAAAACTTGCAACAACACCTCCGGCCAATGCCCCTGCAAGGACGGTGTGACCGGCCTTACCTGCAATCGCTGCGCGCGTGGCTATCAACAGAGCCGTTCACACATTGCGCCATGCATCAGTAAGTTCTTGCTTTCCGTTCATAATATTTCTTCGCCATTATTTACAAATCTCGACAAATGCCTTCCTACTAATGTCATTTTTTCGTATATCCGTATGTCCCTTCTTCTATAACAGAAATTCCCGCACGCAAAGCGAATATGTTGGACACACAGAATACCGCACCTGAACCAGATCCACATGATACCAATGCACCTTATCGCACAGAAGGTGGGAGGGGTAAGTAAGTGTTCGCTTTTTATCACTTTTTTGTTGGTGTTGTTTTCCTTTGACGGGTTTGTTTATATGTTTCTTTGGTTGACCTACATACCTATACCTATCTCCATAGAGCTTTTCTAACTCCAACTATGTTAGTGTTTTACTAAATTTCTTCTTCCCTTACTAATCAATAGATAAAAGGCTTGGTTTAATAGAAAAAATATCCCTATCCCCATAATGTCTATTTTCGATCAGAAACTTCGAATAATGTAATGTGATTCTGCCAAAATTGTTGCTTTAACGGTATAAAACTTTTTAAATTCTTATGAATATTGCTTTGTAGACACTCTTGGAATATCAAATCGAGTCTATTTGGATAAAGGAGACCCGACTAATCTGCAAATGATCACTCTCTCGAAAGAAAATGAATTTCTAAAGTATATATGGAGAGAAAATTCGAAATCTCTCTTTAAATTTTTGAAAAATAAACAGTTTTAATACCTATATCCGCATATCTTACTACTTGTGTGACAAAATGGTCCATAAAATATCGGCATTTCTCGACCAAACATATCAACAATACTGTTACATTAATATGGATAAGATTTCAGAGAGAGTATATGTTAACTAGTCGATCCTACTAGGGAACTCACTTGGACAACTTATAATGCCGATCCACTTTTACACAATTGATTCTAACGACCTTTTTAAATCGACAAAGCGCTATGAGTCTATCTCAAATTTATTGAGATGGCGGTTAGGATCGGCTATCCTGGTTCGCCGAAAGTATGACTGTCGAGATGTTTCAACATCAGTTTTGCAAAAGCTGGACAATGGAGAAGAAAATAACGAGATGATTCTACCTCACCTCTTACCATACAACTTTGACATTGATGTCCTACTGGATTTTTAGCCTTACAGCAAAAAAGCGTGTTGGACAATGCTCAGAAAGATCTCTAACGATTGTGGCAAGATGAACTTTGCTAGAGGAAGTAGAAAAATCGTCGACCAACGCCTGTCAGCTCACTAGAGATCCATAGGTCCAGAGCTAGAACGCAAGATAACAACGGAGATTCAACTTTTCCCACTCTTATGCGAGCGGGGATGTCCTCTTGATAGCTCATTGACTTTGTAATTTCAAGCGATTCTGTTACGACCAGGCAAGCAAACGAGTCTGATAATGTAGTAGCTTGATGCTATAGCTCGACACTCCTAACTTTGAGCGCCCAGTTTACGATCTCGACGCTAGTATTGCTGTCGGAGTGAATGGTCACCTCGGAGTGAATAGTCACCTCCCTGACAGAAGCGCCACTTAAGTCTAATGCTACTTTTATAACAGCTTCTGCTACATGAAAACACTACAGTAGTCCTAAGTAGCATAAAGCAGAATTTAACTGAGAACTCCTTACAAAATACTTTACCTCCGACCTCGACTCCTCCTAGCTTCGACTCATGCTTGAAAAAGCTTAATGTACCTCACCTCAAACGATTTCTCTTCGTTCATATATTCCTTGTCGGTATCTGAGCAGAGAAATAGCTCCCGGAGCAGCCTCTGCAGTGCAGTGGTCCAATTTTTCAGAAAAGTAATTGAAGAAGAGAGTTGTGGTATGTCCCTGTTTGGACCCTTTTATATACCCAGCTTCTCTGAGCCTTAGACAATACATCTGCCGGCAATATCCACGGGTGCTATGCTTAAAATGGCATTAAGTGCTATTGTTGGTGTAGTCAGCAATACACTGCAGATGCCAACTGAAAGAATGAATGTCGAAATCTGGCAATACCAGATTTAGTCAATTCAGTTAAAATAGCAAATCTTGCTCCAGAAGCTTAGAAACAGGTTTAGAAAAAGAACACGCATTACACATCTGACTTTACAAATTTCCGTTAATTCATTTAAATTTAAATTGCTTCGCTTTGATTTACATACTTATTTTCATACACGTATGTATAATATTTTTCTTGTTTGTTTGTATGTATACATATATCTATGCATATATACATATCTATATAATAAAGCAATTAAAGAAATAATATTTATTTATCACATGACGACTATGGAAAACACTCGTCACGTGATGCTCGCACTTAAAAAGTTCATTAAACTCGCGGAGAAATATTCTTTGAATAGTAAGAAAAAGAAAACTTGTGAGGGTTCCAAGCATTGGGGTAGATTAGGGAATATACGACTATGCAGACATTATTAACACCTCAACGCGCTCACAAGTGGGTTAGCGACCATACATATACCTAACTTACTGCACAATATGTGTGAAGCACTTATAGGAGCGCAGGTAAATAGTCACACTGACGACGAGTCTGGCGAACAAAAAGTCATAGAAACCGATGAGCACCGAAGTGTGAGTGTAATTAAAAAATCTTTAGTAACAAATACTAAGAATGATAAGCAGCTCAACGGGCAAAGGAGGGCGTGGCGAAAAGTTGCTACATTTCACGCGGCCTTCAAACAGCAGAAGATGAAACTGCCTGCCTGCGAAGCTAAGGAAGTATTGCTGATGTTGTAAAGCTATTTAGTGTGGCCGCCATGTAGACGGGAGGCCAGTGGCTGCTCAAGAGAATGCAATTAATAGCTGCTATAAAATAAAGATTTCCTCATTTCCTGTCGCATCATGCTGTGCAACTTCTGAGCGCCTGCAAGACAGTTTTATACCCTCAAGAGAATATATTGAGTTTGTCACGAAGTTTGTAATAGCTACAAGGAAACGACGGAGAACATATAAAATGTATATTTATATGATCAGGGCGACTACCTGAGTTGATTTAGCCGTGTCGGTCTGTCGGTCTGTTTAAACAGAAACTTATGCCTCAGCAATGTCAGCCTCCAAATTCAACGCACAAGAACTCTTGCTAACAGATCAAATTCTACAAGCCACTCATCATCCCCGTCCTGTTATATGGTGCAGAGTCATGGACGATGGGAACATCTGATGAGTCGACGTCAGGAGCTGCGCTGGCTACGTCGTGTCGTACATATGGACGAAAACACTCCACCTCTGGAAGTATTCGACGGAATACCCGCCCAGGTGATCAGAGGAAGGGGAAGCCTCCACTCCGTTCCAAATATCAGGTGGAGAAGGACCTGGCTTCGCTTGGAAACGCCAATTGACGCCACATAGCAAAAAGCAGAAACAACTGGTGCGTTGTTGTTAACTCGGCTATAACCGCGTAGGCGTGTTTATGCCAGTAAAGAAGAAGAAGTGCCTCAGTGTTGGAGATATCGATTATTTCCTCCCCAAGGGCTAATATAAAATATACATAGCTGTCATACAAACTCAACGTTCAAAATCAAGTCCTTGTATGGATAACTTCTTCATTCGACGAGATATTTTCACGAAAATTAGCATAGATATTTTCCAAGGCAATCTTCCAATATATGGTCCACATCGGACCACTATTGCATACATATATGTAGCTGCCATACAAACCGACCGAACAAAGTATAGTTCTTGTAAAGAAACGGTTTCTCTTGTGAAGGGCATTCTAGCTTCGGTGCAACCGAAGTTACTGTTTGTTTGTGTTTACCAATAGGGTGGGTGAGCGCAAGCGTGAAAAAGCGAGCAAGCGAGCTAGGCAGGTGAATCGTAAGCATATTTGCGGTTGTAAATAATAGAAGAAGTCCGCGTCAAAGTGATTTTCCATAAAACGCCCGCACGGCTCGCTTATAATGTAATAAAAAGAAATACTTAGTTGCTTACATAATTGAATAATTTTATATAGCAACTTCGCAAAATGTAAACAAATTACGTGCAGCAGACACAGACAGCGCGCGGAGAGTCAACAGCATAAGAGCATGTTGTGTGTTGCACATGCAACGAGTGCACGAGTGGGGCGAAAGGGTGCTGAAAATGATTAAAGTAAACAAACTGAAAAGTTTGCTGCTTGCGGCAATGACTTGTGGCCAGAAGTTTTAGCTGCTGCTGCTGCTGCTGCTGCTGCTGCGGCTTATTTTTACTGACACTTCTTGAGTATGGCATATACAAACAAATATCTCACGTTGCCACTGTGGCTGCCGCGAAAGCGTTAATGCATAAATATTGATAATAAAGACAACTACAACAACGCGACACGCCATACAAATACACGCTGATATATTGTTTTGCCTGATAAGGTTTTTCGCCCATAGTCCCAGAGGTCGTAAAATATTTGCGCTCGTAATGTTAGTCACTCGCTGCTTATTGTTAAACTTTAAGCTTAGCCAAAACTGTACTAACAGACTGTAAGGCGGGGTAAAAAAGCCCGAGTAGCTTTAACGCTTGTCCTCTGTGGATTTCATGCGACATACTTGATGATACGTATGTATGTATGTGGGAGCACTCCTGGGCGACAGCCAACAACTGACAACAAACACTGCTACTGCTGGTCCACACTGGGAGTTATAAGCTTGTAAGAAGCTGCTAGCAAGCTTTGGAGTGAACATAGACACATACGAGGTAATCACTTGTTAAACGCCGTTTTAATGGCTGTTTGATAACCGAAAGTATTACACGTCTTTTAGTGAACACTAAATGGATAGTGATGATATAAAATTACAAGGCGAGATAATTTAAGATTTTCAGGTTATATTTAATGCTTTTTATGGTTATAAATTCGTTTATCTCCGCGTTACGAAATGGGAGACTCACAGACCGAATGTCGTTGGTTGGTTGAAAAGAGCAATGGAGAGGCGCCCGACCACAAAACCATCTAAACATTCACTAGGTCCATTATTTTCCCACGAAACGGATATGATTCTTATAAGGTTGACAATATATCTCCATTCTATTAAACAAAGAAAATAGTGAATATGACGATATATCCGAAGATGCAATCGAATACGATGAAATTAAAATGAATAACCGATTATAAAAAGGTTAGGGTAGTCATATTGTGGCTGAGAACTTGCAAAATCCTGTCTAATGATGAAGCATAGGCTCCATTCGTAATATTTCCAATTTTATATACAAAAACGTTTCACTGAAACGTGCCCTTTTCTATACAACACCACGGATTTTGGAAATAAATTT